GTCGCACTTAGCAAAGGCGTTGCTGCTGCGGCCTTGTAGGCACTTCAACACTGATTCGTTGAAAACGATACATTTTATTTCCCTTTTAATTATTCTTATTAACGTAATCAGTAGATTGCTGATAGCTTAAAAATGTTGTCCCCAATACACACTGTGTGGTGCCAAATGAAGAACATATAGGTAGCGGGCTTCAGTCACGTTCAGTCTTAATACCTAGGGTCGCCATTCTAGCCGCTCTGGGCAGTTAAGTTACACTTTCAGTGCTCCATGACGGCTGTGCTGACTGCCTTGTCAAGGAAGGTAAGGGATCCAAAGCATGTTTCTCCGAAGTTCCAACGCAGCTAGTAGTTAAGTACTAAACCAGTTTATGTCATGTGCTACTGACTTTTGATATTCATGTTAGTCACAGACCACATAAATACTAGTAATGTTAGTGTTGTCAGTATGTAGGCCTTAGAGGCAATTAATAAAACTCCGCAACATGGCGAGGGCCTAAACTTAACTTGTCACCCTTTAATGTACCTCAAAGTACGACAACCAATCAATTGTCGTTAAACTAAACTAATCTAACTGTTCCGAACATTGAGTGCTTTGATCAATCATCGAGGGTGACCACAGTGAGCTTATTATTTGGGGACTAGCTTTAGGGTGTGACTTCGCTTCAGTCTTCTTTTCTTATCGTATCGATGGCATAGGTAGGTACATAAATATCTATGGGTAGGTACACTACATTATTGTAGCCCAGAAGTTATTGCCGCTACCTGGGTAGCTAGTTGTAGCCGCCATGCTGATGTGTGGGACATGTTTACCATCGTTATAAATGGATTTGCCAATCAACGTAACATACTCGCCGATTTTTTTTTTTCATATCAGTGATGGGACGAACAAGTCGTGTGCCCGATGGTGAGCCTGTCCATAACAGTTGCAGTGCCACTCAGATATTTAAATCGCAAGGATCTGAGGGTCACTGCCACTGCGCCCGTCACCCTGAGACATAAAGTTGACAAGTCCCATGTGCCTGTAATTTCACCAGCACCCTTACCCTTGCCTAATGCTAACATTACTGCTTGGCGGCAGAAATAGGTAAGGCGGTAGGACTTCCCTGGACGAACTCTTTCACAAGGAGCTCCACTGCTGCTAAAAATTATTACCCTGAGTGCGCCAGACGTACTCAGGATACGAATGGTAAGATGATTGAAATATAATGGCATAATAAGTTGGGTTCTTAGGTTTTCGCGATTGTTACACATAGGAAATGAAACTATTTTTCCGGATTTAAATCGCGTATATTTGTTTTTTCAAACAAACCGACGTTTCGGGCCCTTTACAGGTCCCATGGTCACGGTTGACTGAAACGTCGGTTTGTTTGAAAAAACAAATATACGCGATTTAAATCCGGAAAAATAGTTTCATTTCCTATAATAAGTTGGCTTAAGTAAAGTTTGAGAAGCTACTTTTGGAGTCTGAAATGCAGGGCATATCGTTTTGACATTGGTCGTGGCCGAAGGGTTACCATACTGGACTGTCACGCAAACCTTACGCACGCAAGGCCTACATTTATTTCTCTCGTGAGTTTGGGTGTAATTTGTAGTTGTCTATGTGTAAGTTCTTGGCACCTTCGATACAGGGTTTCCCTAGTGCAGGTTTATGAGTGTGTGCGTTGTTATTATTATTATTTATAGTATTATTCTGATATCAGAAGAACTAATTCATTTGAAATTCTGTAACTATGGCTTCATTTTTCAGGCTTTACTTTGATAGCGCCATCGTCATCTACCTTTGTCTTACGAATTTTATTTTCTTGGCTAAACAAAAAATATTCTATAGATACAGACAAACACAATGTTTTATAGGAGAAATGCTCTTGGTGTGAAGGCATCTACTGATTAATTAGCTTAAGGTTAAAGCAATTTCAACCAACCTAATTCCACTTTATGAAATAGGAGTTATAAACTTAGGTACGTGGTTAAATCTAAAATGGTATAATTGATTAGAGAATTGCTTTAACTAGTCTATATCCTAACCTCTAAAATGCGGTAGATGCGATTTGTTGCCTCTAACCAGAGGTATTATGTATGTAAACCTTAGACTATGGAAACCAATTTTTTCCATCCTCTAAGATGTAAACACTTTATTGTACCACAAAACATAATTCCAAATATTGACAAACAATTTAAATTTTTAATCTACAAAGGCGAGCTTTAAGCATAAAGGGATTTCTTCTAACTTACTTTGAAAAACTGAGAGGAAAGTTGGTTTCTGGGTTGGCAATAAAAACAAAATTGAACCCTACATAATAAACGTTAATGCACTTAAGACATAAAATTAATAGTAAAAAAAATAATAAAATAAAATCTAACCAGATTTATTTAAAGCTGCTGAATTTCTGAATGCTTGAATTTTGAGAATCTGGTATTTTGATAATCTGGCATTCTGTTAATCTGATATTCTGCGCGTTTGGCATTTTGCGTTTCTGTTGCATAAAACCAATTAGGTCTACTACATTACTGGTCTGCCTGCACTGTCTTGAGTACTACTACTACTACTACCATGTCCAATTATGGAAGCTTTGGGTGCTATTTTGAAAAACTTACCCTTGACAAGATTACCGCTCATCTTCTGTATTTATTTCTATATAAATGGTCGTTCGAAATTGTTAACAACAACATATTTTAATGAAGAGATGAAAGAAGGAAAGAAGAATTGACATAGCAGATTTATATAGCGAGTGCGAGCAGACAAGTTGAAAAAGGCCGACCATGGCGAACTTACCATGACCAAACTATGGACTACCTAAAGAAAGGCCAAATCAAGAGTAATCGACGAGCGTGTATAAAAGTAACTAATGCATATTGATGAGGCGACAGATGAGTGTCAGGAGCCAATGCCGGCTTTACGTATGCTGCAGAAAGTGCAGCGCACATGGACGCAGGGTCTTAGGGAGCGCCAAACGCTGAACGCCACTCTGCGACGCCCTCGCGGCGCAAGCGTAGTAAACGGGCTAGAAGTGATCATTATTACCAAAGCAGATAATGTAATGCATTATTCTCACGCGACGTGTAACTGATCACCGTACAGCCGTCCAAACTGCTGTTGTTATACTGCTATTCACAATATTCATTCGTTAACATTGTCATGTTGCATGCAACAATACAAAACAGCGGAATAACAGGTTATTTGACAACACTCTGGAATTACCGTTATCTATTGAAAAATCGCGTAAGCGTACCTATCACCACACCAATCGATAGATAGTCGATTGATGCCATCGATCAATGGTTGAATGAGATGAGTCTACGTCGATCGACAATTAATACCACACTACCGATCGATGATCGATAGATGGTTAAATGAGATGTGCGAGTGCCAAAATCTAAAAGGGTAATACTGGCCAACAACACATCCTCTTCTGTACACATTTTAAAAGCTACTGGGGACAGCCCACTGTATTGAATTAATAAATCGACGGAATTAACGATCGATGTGGATCGCCGGTCGATCGACCGCGACAGTCGATCCAACATCGATCGGCCGTTGAATAATTGTTTCATCGATCGGTGTTCGTCGATCGACAATTGTTACATACCGACCGATCGACGTCAATCGATGGCATCGTTTTCAAACAAGACATACTATAATTCATTATTGACAAACAGCCGTTTTTACCATCTAAAACAGGACTCTACAGCTTTCCAACATCATTTACAATATCTGCCCCGGTGCAAAGAACGTGAAGAGCATGTATTTATGTCCCTATTCTTAATCTTGACTAATTTTTCAAATTCTACGTATAATTGATTTTTCAAACGTAAACGATCTAAAAGATCGGAAAAAAATAGTTTCGTCTCCAATGTGTAGCAATCGATGAAACATGATAAATTCATAGATAGCCATATTTTAGTCCTTTCTAGACTAATAAAGGGGATTGGGATGACAATATTTTAGGTCAACACATTAAAGTCTCGAATATCAGTATAAATTATAAGTTAAGCCGTTACATTTCTTAGAAGCAATTACAATAATAAACTGGCAATATTCAGGCTAACGGCCGAATCGTCCAATATTCATGCGATTAAAGATATTATCTAAGTATTGTTATTAGAGGGTCGGTTACAAATCATATCGTACGTGCCCCCGATATCATTGATGCATAGAATAGCCATGGAAATGGACTTGGAGTTGAACACTGAAAGACTGGTCATGATGAAGTTACATATGATGGAACTATTCGGTGAACTGAGTTGCACTACAAAGTATAATATTCTTTGAGAATTAACGTAAAAGCTTGAAGTGATGTGAATGCTAACAATGGCTATTCGAGAAACAGTCTCCGGATGCAGGTGTCCTTGTGTGTTGTATTGTTTGTGAATGTTTATTATTGTCCTTTTTACTCAGGCGTCTTAAAATCCTTTTGAAAAATAAATGGGCATATAAAACTTTACAACCATTCAAATCTTATAAATAAGACATTTTATATGCGTATGAATAATCGGTAAATTTTTCTACGTAATAATGAATAATGGCAGGTTAAAAAAAAAAAAAAAAAAAAAGGTTAAACGATGTAAAGGTCGTTGGGCACTTTTGTATGGAACATTTATCCAAGGTGTATACAAATGAAATAGGCTGGAATAGACAACTAAATACACTTCCGGACACATAATTAAAAAGAAAGTAAATAGTTTACTAGAAATATATCCACTAACGAAATACCAATGCAAGAAACAGATAGTAATTTGGCTTAAACATTTTAATTATGATGAAACTGAAAGTCTTCTAACTAGAGCTTCCTAATATTAATCAATGAATATTAATTATCACAATAGTTAGCATGTTGTTGATAACAATTATAATACAAACTTTCCAGTATAATAATACCTTCAGGGCCTTGTTGAAGCTTCCCCGTTTCTGTAGCGCATCTGGCATGTTTGCGGGTGCTGGCATCATACGAATGATGAATATATAATGATTTCTATGCCATCATACGCAAAATGTCCACTTCGTTAGTACGAAGGGTGAGGGGTAGCAACAACGAGATCCTGAAGATGATAGCAGACAGGATGGATGCAGTGGTGTTCCGGAGGTTCCCTGAGTTGCATGTTCTGCATGTGAGTCAGTGAATCATCTGGGTTGCTGGGTTCGTCCTGTTTGTTATATTTGTAACTAATTATTAGGTATTCTTTTTGGGATTGTTCGATTCGTGGTGTTGTTAAATGTTGTGTCATTTAAGAAAAAATACTATCTAAATATGTAATTCTAATTTATTCATGCCCTATTATGGCAACCAGCAGCAATAGAACTCCTTGGAAAAAAATTCGTCCAATACTATGAGCATTACTGCGTTTCGGTTTTGAAGGGTAAGAATACTAGTGAAATTATACGTACACGGAACTTGTCAACTTCATGCTGGTAACTCAGATCTTTACAATTTGAAGCTCTGAGTGGCACTACAATTTTATGGGTAGGCGTGACGCATGTGACAGAATATGTGTCGTCACTTGACATAATAAAAAAACACAAGACATTAATCGCTGGTAATATACAGTTATGTATCGAATCGATTTGTTGTCAGTTGTTCTAGGTACTGATAAGAGGACCTGGATACGATGGGGAAGAAAACGCATGGGCCCTGAGACCACCGATATATGTATTGTGACAGAAAATTAAACTATTTTTTCGGATCTAAATTGCATATATTTGTTTTTTCAAACAAACGACTAAGTGTGTGACTTGATGACTTTTAGAATTTATTAGTAGGTATCAGGGCTTTATTTTTAATTTTAATTTCTTTTTTCACCATAAAATATTTAAATAAGTCGGCGAAGTCTATTATTTTGCAAGATCTGACCCAACCAATATAAAATCAATAGGGTATAATGAAGAAGACAAAGTTCTCTAACAAGTTAGAGTTTGCGAGAGTATTACATAGATCAATACTCAGAAACGAATCTCGAAGACAAAGTTCTCGACTGGAGTCCACTTCAAAATTCCCAAGTTTCTACTTCAAAGGAGCGCCCCATTACTATTTAAGAACAGGATCTGCATTGCCGTCCCAGACTTACTAAAATCGAATTACTATTGCATTCACTACCTCTTTTTGACTTCTTTGTGTACTGGTTTATGTTAAAAATTTATAGAAGCGTTAAAAACATATTTAGTGGCTAGAAGTTAACTATACACTACATGAATAATAATATCCAATTAATAAACGAAATATTTAATGCATAATATAGGTGTATTTAATAAATTATATTATGACAAAATGATAATTACTCATAAAATTATAATTACGAACTCAGCTCTCCGGTTGACTGGTAGAGAATGCCTAATAGCATTAAGTCCGCCATTTATACTACTTTGTGTGCATTAAAGTTTAAATAAAATAAATAAAAATAAATAAATAAACATCAATTATTGTGTTATTAAAATTTTATCTCAACAAATACACAATGAGCAATACACGCCTGTAATAATCTTAGAGCGTTAGTGAATAGAATTAGTCTAATTTATTCAGATTTGTGTCACTTGCTGTGCGCTTGCAGAGTCTATAGGCAATGGTCTTAACATTTACGTTACTACCACCTTGCTTATGACCATCATGGTACGCAATAAAGTGTTGAGTATTAATGATGGTTTTAAATTATGTTTTGTGTTAGTTCATACAAATGACTAACAAAATTAAATTTACGATTTACAAAGTTGCCTACTGCAGGAACTAATAATTTGACCGGCGTAAAACCGGCGTGCCAATTTTATTTTATTCCAATGAAAAATGTAAATGAAAAATAAGCGTTTTGTTTTATTATTTACTATATTTTAATAGAATATTTCCGTACAATTGGAATGAGTTACGGATATTCTACGTGCCAACATCCTATTCATTCCAGATTTCAATTAAAGATCGTATATTATTAAACGATTGTTACTTTTTGATAACATTCTTTATGTTGAGTATTTACTAACAGTTCCTATGTACTGCTGAAGTACAAAATAAATAGAAAGATTGATTTAAACAATTGCTTACAGTTTTTTAAGCACTTGGAAAATGTATACCTCGCCGATTTGAGTCCTAGGTCGCCGCCGCTCCTTTTTTACGATCGGTGTTGTTGATATAGTTTCTAAATAGCTTCCTACTGAGTACCCTATAGAGAAGCCCTGTCTACAAACAACATATGACTTCTCAAACATGTTTATGACTTTGCCAATTTTCTATTTTCATCAATCAACCAATTACATAACAGTTGAGAGCTCTTGGCAGATGATTGCTTTCATATCGAGTTCGACGAAGATAAAGTGTATTCCTATCTCGGTTTTGAATTAAGTAAGTTAAGGCTGGCAAATTATATTAGACCCCTTACTATGTTGCGTAATTTTGCAGAAGTTATATCCTCTATCATCAACACGAACATTGATGACAAAAGTCAAAAAGAGCGTCCAAATTTCGGAGTCTAAAAAATTTAAATCTATCTTTTATTTATTTGTTTAAACTTTATTATACAAATTAATATTAATATTAATAAATTTATTTCTCTCTACAAATTTTGGTTACAAATATTTGTTAAAAACAGTTCTTATTATTATCTTTTATAATATCAAGTGACGGAACAAACAAGACGTGCGCCTGGTGGTAAGCTACACGTCTGTCCATAACAGTTGCAGTGCCACTCAGAGCTTTAAATCGCAAAGATCTGAAGGGTACTGCCACTGCACCGCAGGTCTAAGACATAAGTTGACAAGTCACATGTGCCTGTATTTTCACCAGAACCCCTACCCTTCAAAATCGGAACGCAATAGCGCTCACATCACTGCTTGGCCACAGAAATAGGTAAGGTGACAGTCCTTCCCTGGACGAACTCTTTCTCAAGGAGCTGTACTGCTCGGCGGCAGAAATGTGTATATGTAAATAATTTAGAAATTAAACTCACATTTCGCGATAGGGATTGGAACCGTCGATCCCTCAATTCAGAAGCAACCGTTCTCTGGGCCAGCACCACTATTTACATAATTTCATCGGCGTTCAAATTTGCAATTTAATAAGTGTTAGTTTATATAGGTTAACCTGTGTACAACGAAATCAAACAGGGAAATATAAACATCATGCAATTTTTTGCAAAGGGAAACGACATAAGCATGAGAGTCATTGTGTGATAATGAGATAGCATTATTGGGACCTTTGCTTGTTTAACGTGCTCGCGGCTCGACAAGGCCCGTAATTGCGCCCTAGCCAGCCTTTCAGCTCTGCTTTGTTCAACGGCTCCTCTTTATTATTATTTCCCTCGAAAACATTCCGACATTCTGACTCTCAATAATACAATAAGTATTTCTCAAGTGTTCCTCATTTGTGCCGGCGATATTGCAAAGATATTGTTCTTGTTAGGTAGCTCCTTTGTCTTTTATACTGTGTACTGTAGACGAGGCTGTACTCTATGAGTAGAATTGCTGGCTGAACATAGATAATAATTATAGTTTTTGTATTTGGAACGCTAAGAAAACAAGGAAAGGTCTTGACATACATAGTAAGATTATTGTTTCGTAACCCAAAAGTATAAAATATGTAAAATGGTGAAATAAACCAAATGTTTGAAGTTAATCCCGGTTTTTATATTATTAAAAGTACCTCTCGCAATGCGTCTGAGCTACAGCCGACGCAAAAAAAAAGTAAAAAGTGCGAGGAGGAAATATGTATGGTGTACCGGCACAAAGATTTAATGGGTTCAACGACGTAGATGAGTTTTTGAACCAATTTGAGACCATTAGTATATTAAATAATTGGTCTGATGTGCAGAAGAAATACGTGTTTGCATTGTATTTGGAGGGGCCAGCTCTGCAATGGTACAAAACGTATTCTTCTTCATACGTGTCGTATGATGTGATTGCACAGAGGTTGAGAGAGGAATTTCCCTCACAAATTGATTACGCCCGAGAATTTTATTATAGGCGACAGGGGCATAGTGAATCGCTTATAAGTTATTTTTATAGTTTAGA